CTCTGCGCTAGTGCTGAGGTATAGTCCAGTCACCTTCCAAACACAGGAGGCTTCTGGGACACTTTAGATCTAGACTGTTAACACCTGTCCCCCAGCACCCCCCAACCCCAAGCCCAGGCAATTACTTATTTCTGTCTACATATTTGTCTCTTCTGCATTTTCTTCCTCTCCTGTCTGACTGTAATTATATGTCCTTTGGCCAGTATCTCCCCATCCCTCGCACCTCCTAAACACCCGCACCTCTGGTAACCACCATTTTACTCCTTCAGCTTTTTTGGGTTTCATGAGTAAGACGGTGTGATACTTGTCTGTGTCTGGCATAGTCGTTATTTTTATGAGTAGTATTCCATTATGTACATACACTGCATTTTCTTTATTCCTTCATCATTCGAGGGACACTTGGGGGTTCCCTGCCCTAGCTGTTGTGAATAGTGCTGCAGTAAACATGGGAATGCAGACACGTCTTTGACAGAAATGCGTGACCTCATTTATTCCTGGCACCCGCTTTGGAAGTAGTAACATCCCCACAAAGAGGTCACTTGCCAGTGTCACATGGCAGGAGGGATGTAGGGGTGATGCTTCTGAACACGCATGGGCTTTTTTTGTTTGTTTTTTTTTTTGAGACAAGGTCTCACTATGTAGTTGAAACTGACCTGGAACTCACTATGTAGCCCAGGCTGGTCTAGAACTCACAGTGATCCTCCTGCCTCAGCCTCCCGAGTGCTGGGATTACAGGCTTGTGCCACCATGCCCGGCCTCCATAGGCTTTTCAAAAAGCTTTTTTCTGGTTCTGTGCATTAGGAAGAAAGAGACAGGCTGGACGAGGCTGAAGGGGTCCTGACATCTGTGAGGGTGCCACTGTGTCCCTCTGCGCAGAGGTACCTCGTCACCAGCCAGAAGACTGTCCCCCTACCCTGAACTCCACAGTTACCAGATGTACGTGTTGAGGCCTTTTGTCTCTTCACTTGGAAAGAGCAGGGTCAGTACTAAAGTTGGGATCCTTCCCCAACTAGCTACAATAAAAAAAAAATCTACACCTAGACATATAATAATCAAGATCCCAGAAACCCAACAGAAGAACAAAATACTACAAGCAGTAAGAGAAAAGAAACAAATCACATACAAAGGAAAGCCCATCAGAATCACAGCAGACTTTTCAACACAAACCCTTGGGGCAAGGAGAGCCTGGAATGACATATTTCAAGTACTAAAAGAGAACAACCTCCAACCTAGACTGATGTGTCCAGCAAAACTCTCTTTCAAAATGGAGGGGGAAATAAGACACTTCCATGACAAAGAACACCTGAGAAACTACATGAATACCAAACCAGCACTACAAGCAATTCTAAACAAGATCCTAGAAAAAGACAATGAAGGCAACAACACCATGAGGCCCAACAGAGCAAATCAAATAGGCAAGGCAAGAAATTAAAAGGAGAAGGTGAAAAAGTAAAAAGAGTCAACAAAAGGCCAATAACATGTCAATAATAAGTCAGTACATATCAATTATAACCAGCAATGTCAGTGGCCTCAACTCTCCAATCAAGAGAAATAGACTGGCAAAATGGAATAAGCAGCAAAATGTAACAATATGTTGAACACAAGAAACACACCTAGTGCAAAAAGAAGCCCATAGACTGAAAGTGAAAAGATAGAAAACAATTCT